CCAGGTCAGGGACATGAAGGAGAAAGTGCCCAGGTCACCAGGAGCTCCCCATTCCCGTCCCACTCGCTCCTCTCTTTGCCCTGTCCTGGAATTGTTTCTCAGGGCTTGGTGGAGTCAAAAGGGAGTAGGAAATTGCATCTTTGGCTACATCAGAATTTCCCGTCCTCTGAGTTATTAGTGGTGACAATTTTTGCCATTGAAGAAGTAGCTCGACATGCAGATTTCTTTGAATTCCTCCTCATTTCCTCCTGATTAGAAGCTCTTTTCCAAATGGGACATTCTCCAAATGCTTTCCCTCTCTCAGCAGGTTTCTACCATTCCTCATTTATCTACCCTGAGAGGGGTCATGGTCCCTCCAGCAGCAGAGAGCTGCTGGTGGGGCTGGTAGCACTGGAGTGCTGCTGGCAGTGCTGGAAGTGCTCACAGCACTGTGCAAGCACCTGGGTGCTTCTCAGAAGCAACTCCCGTTCTGGGAAGGGCTCTGGGATCATGGCCAAAACCTTCCCTGGCCCCAAGAAAACAAACTGAGGAGAGAATTCCCATTTCTGTCATTCCAATGCAGGCCCACAGAGCCCAAGGGAAGGACAGCACTCAGTTGCTTGCAGCCAGGTCAGCAGCACATAGAGCCCCCCCTAATTGCTGCCAATCGCCTTGATGATGCAATGAAAGCTATCAGGGACCAGATTTTGCAGTGTTGTGATCCCCTTTCCAGCCCTTCATTAGGGCTCAACCTCCTTCTCCTCAGACATGGGAGCCCTTGTGTTTGTTTTTTTCTGACCCCATCCCTCTGGGCAGCCTGTCCAGGGCCTCAGCACCCTCACAGGGAAGGATTTCTTCCCAATATCCAATCTGACCCCACCCTATGTCAGTGGGAAGCCATTGCCCCTTGTCCTGTCACTCCTGCTGCTGCTGCTGCTGCTGCTGCTGTGCCTGTGTGGGATGGTGGGAATGGGGCTGTGTTCTGGCTCCTCAGCTTCTGCATCCACAGGAACCCCGTCACCCCCTGTGTGCTCAGCCTGGCCATGCCTGGCTCCACCTTCCTGCTCTCCATCACCATCACCCTGGGGATATTTTCTGTCCCAGAGATCTTCTGGCACCAGCTGGGCTCGTGGGGTGTGACAGCTGGGCTGAAGGTCCCCATCCTCTTGGCTTTCACTGCCACTGTCTCCTCTCTGACAGCCCTCAGTGCTGTCACAGCTCTGTTTGTCCTCCCGTGTCCTGCTGGCCCTGCCCCTGCTCCCAGTGCTTCCTGATGCTCCTGTGTGCCCTGCTCTGGCTGCTCTCCTTCCTGCTCACTGCCACCCTCCATTGCTGCTCTTTGGTGCCCATGGCCTTGGTGCTGAGCTGCCCCTTCTCAGTGCTCAGCCTGCCCTGCTCTGCTCTGGCCCTGCTGGCCAGTCTCTTGTGCTGCTCATGGAAACAGCTGCCAGGGAAGCTCTGTGCCCTGCTCCTGCTGCTCCTGTCATCTCCTTCCCCTTCTTCACTGCTGATTTTGGGCACTGGCTCTTGCTGAGGGTGTTTGACTTCTCTGTCTTTGCCCCCAACCCCTCTCTCCTGCTCACCTGTGCCAACAGCAGTGCCCTCCTTCTGATTGACTGCCTGGCTGGGAGCTGTGCAAAGGAATTCACCCCCTCTGGTAGTGCTGCCTTCCAGAGGGCTTTTGAGACTTTAGTGTCAGAGCCTGGCAGTAGGCACAATGCAGTGGAATCAGTATGAAGTGAAATCATCAAGAGAAAGAGTCTGTATAAAAGAGAAGCATAGAATATCCTAAATTGGGAGCCACAAGGATCATGGAGTTGAGCTCCTGGCCCTGCACAGGACATGCCAACAATCCCAGCCTGTGCCTGAGAGCATTGTGAAAATGCTCCTTGAGCTCTGTCAGGCTGGTGCTGTGTGCAGCAGGGGAACTCCTGCCTGGGCTGGATTCTGGATGTTATGAAGAATCATCATGGAAGGGTTTGGGTTGTGCTCTGGTTTAGGGCAAATTTGTGAGAAAAACTTCAAATAGGATACTTCTTGAAAACAAATTCAAGCAGCCCCACCCTCCCAGCTGGTTCAGGAAAAGATTTCCTGAGAGAAAAGAGGATAAAAATGTGTATTTAACAAGCAAAATATTCGCAAACACAAAAAATTAAAACAATATGAAACGATAAAATCTCTTGCTGCTCTGAAGAGTTGGCAACTTCAGACAATCCTTGTGGAGTGTAGGTTGGCTCACTCAGTCCCTTATCAGTCCTTCTGGTGCTGGAAAATGCCGCGTCCCAGGCCCCAGTGGGCCACAGGTGTGAGCTCCTGGTGCTCTTCTGGGTTTTCAGTCCAGAGCAGGTTTGAACAGTTCCAAGGAAAAGGAAAACCACAGTCCAGGGAACTTCTCTGCCTCAGCCAGCTGAGAAAACCAAAAAGCAAAGGAGAGCTCTGTGCTGCATGTCTGTGGTGCAGACAGCACGGTCTGGGAGCAGGAATGGGGAGGAGTGAGCGCAGCTTCTGACAAGCAACTGCTGCATCTGCTCTGCCCCTCTTTGCTCAAGAGCCAGTCTGAAATGTGCAAAACCTATTTCTGGGTTAAACAGATGAATGGGGACACAATTCATGTCATAACGTCACTCAGGACAGGTTAGAAGGAACAGTAGAGATAATCCCATTCCATATCTCCTTCTTCCTTAGGCAGGGACAGGCAGGAAACCTTTTTCTTTGAAGTCTTGCTCTTTTGTAAGGAAGCTCAGGTAGGGAGAGGCCTGGGTGACACAGGAGACAAGGAAGGTGCTGGGAAGCAGAAAAAGTACATGGAAGAATAATGGTCCTTCTGCACTTGCCTTGGGAGGGACTCCCTGGCTGAGTTGTTCTTCCCTGGACAAGAGGTTGTACCTTGGAAAGTTTCTGCTTTCCAATGGATGGAAATGGGCGTTAGGGAGAGAAAAACCCTCTCAAATGTCAACGTCCCTTCTGTTAATTATTAACAACTCTGTTAAGAAATGCTCCTTAGCTGTTTAACCTCATGTGTGTCTCCAAAGGCTGACTCACCACCAATGCCTTTTACTCTCATTTCCCTTTCCAGAAGCAATGGCACATTGGTTTCCCCTGGATTTAAGGCAGTGGGAAAAGACAGGACAACTTCCCCCTGAGCAAGAGATGTGGCTGCTGCCCAGGTCTCTCCCAGCAGCAATCAGGAGCTCTTGGCACTGCCAACATCATCCCAAGCATTGCAGGCACGTGCCTTAGGAAGGGCTCTGGTATGAGACAGG